GTGCTCAAGGTGAAATTTAGACTAGATTTGTTTCTGTGCACATCTAAATAAAATTTAAAAACTGTATCTACGTTACATAAAAACAAAGCATTTGCACCCAGCCTAGGTACAACTTTCCTAAATACAAATTCATATCTGATAAAAATGTGCTCAAGGTGAAATTTAACCTAGGCACAAAAATTGTCTCTCTCCATTTAGAGTGCACAACCAACCTATTTAGCCTTTTACTCTGTTTTGCAGACCTACTATCAGTCCTAGCGTGACACCAACGAAAATTGCTGGCCTTGCTGGCCGCGTCAGACGACTGTTGGCTGAAGAAAAGGAAGGCCGTATGCTGTCCTTACAAGTGGACGGCTGCTCGAAGAAACACCGACACTTTAGTGGTGTGAATGCTCAATATGTCAAGGATGGAAAGACTGTTGTAAGGACTTTGGCAATTCAGGAACTTCATCTACAGTCGACGGCGGAGCACCTGAAGGACACAATCCTCCGCATCCTTCGCAAGTTTGACATCTCTGTAAAAAATGTTATCTCCGTCACTTCAGACAATGGAGGGAACTATCTTTTAGCGGGCAAGCTACTCCATCTAGAAGACACTGAGGTGATAGAAGACCTGAGAGACATCGAACCGGAGGGGGACGACCGGCTTGATGTGGAACTGTCAACTGATGATGAGCCCATCCAGAGCGTCAGATGCGCGGCCCACACGCTCCAGCTCGCCGTGGACGAGGCCATGAAGAGGATCACCGATGTCAAGCCGACCTTAGACGCCGCACGACAATTGTCCCGCTTCCTGCGTACCCCTTCCAATGTGCGGCAACTAGAGGCTGCTGGGAAGTCCCTTCCACTTCTTGATGTTGCGACTCGCTGGGGGTCGACCTACGACATGTTGAAAAGCGTGTTTACTCTTCGACACTTCTTTGACGCAGTGATGGACATGACCAGCAAGGAAAGAGATGAACATGCTCTCACTGACGAGCAGTGGGATGTTGTCGAACAACTCCTCGCTGACCTCCTTCCCGTATACACGGCAACTGTAAAGTTGCAGGCCAGGGACCTAACCCTTGGGCAGCTGCTTGCCATTTGGACGGAGGCGACGATGGCTCTCAAATCCCGGCGCACAGATTTATCCGAAGCAATCATACTGGCGATGGATGAAAAGGCCAAGTCCGTCATGTACAAGGGCCGCGGAAGAGGCGAGAGACTCTCGTCTCTCTTTGAATACCCTGCATTCTGTGCCTCAGTCTTTGCCAACCCGAGGTTTTTCTCCCTGCTGACAAAACAGCAGGTTACTACAGGGAAGGAATACCTTCTGAAATTGTGGCAGAGGCTGCAAGCTAGACGAGGAATTCAAGAAGAGCAGCCGGAAGAAGATGGAGCCAATGACGTTTCATCAGAAGAAGATTTTGCCGATGAAGACCCCTTCGCTGCTTTTCTGGCCAAGAAAAACCAGGAGAAGGTTGCAGCTACTAGGCAGCCAACGAGAAGTAGGCCTTCACGGGGCCGACAACCCGCCTCTGCTCCTTTACAGGGCCGGGAGAAAGTACGAGCAATGCTCGATGAGTACTTTGCTACAACCAAACCTATTCCTACAAAATCAGATGTCCTCCAGTTTTGGGAAGACAAGAAGCTAGTGTGGCCTGAACTTTACGAAATGGCAATGATTGTCCTTGCCATTCCAGCGACCCAAGTATCAGTTGAACGTCTGTTTTCGGCTCTGAGGTTTATCTTGCGACCACAAAGATTTAAACTTGCGGGCGACCGTGTAGATGACATTGTTTTTCTACATGCTAACGCTGACTTGGTCCGGGAAGCTGTTAAAAAAATTGTAGAAAGTGTCAACGACGAAGAGACTGAAAGTGAGGCAGATGTAGTGTAGTTTTTCACCCCCCTTCCTTGCTTTTGGAATAAAAGATTCTTTTTTTTTTAAGTGTTTGTATGTCATGTTCTGATGTTAATGTTGTTTGTACAATTTTGTAATCATAAGTTTGTGATGTGATTAAAAGAAATGATGATTTCAAAGTATATGTATGTGTATGCATAGGTTAGGTTAGTGTCAGTGTGATATAGACCACAGTTTAATTTTTCCGTTCTCGATTTTTGGGAGGGAAGAGACTTTCCCTTTATTTTGAAATTAAAATTTGTTTTAAGTTAATGTCGGTCATATTCTGATGTTGTTAGTGTTGTATATGTGCAATGTTGTAATAGTACCAGTTTGTCATGATATTTTAAGAAAAATTGATTTACAATTATGTATATAAATGCAATCATGTGAGAGACAATTTTCTTTTCTTTTCCTGCTTTTATGGGAAGAGACTGTTATAAGTTTAGTGTCTTCTTTGCCAATGTGTATTGTATGACATGAAGTAAAGTTTTGATTCCCAAATTGTGGAGTTGGTTATGTCGCGTAGCATTTTGTATGTACAGTTTCGCCAATAATGTGTGATATGATTTGAAAAAAAGGTTAAAGTGTATCTATAAATGTTATAAAGTTTGAAATAGTTCACGATGAAGACACTGCAAGGCAGTGCCATGGCTGTGAATTAAATGCATTATTTAGTTTGTCCCCCCCCCCCAAATCTTCCTTCTACAAACCAAAGTATTATTATTTTTGTGTAGTTATTGTACGCCATGTTCTGACGTTGGCTGTGCTGTATGGTATGTTGCATGAGGTCCTTGTAAAACGTAGGATTTGACAATAAACTTCTTTTTCTATCATGAGTTTTGTGTGGCTGTGAATGACTAACTGCATCAACCGTACATTGTGCCAGAGGGGTCGTCGCCGCCATCAGGTGAGGTATATTTGGTGTGTTTGGGCCGTTTAGAGAAACGGAGGGGTTTTTCCGGTGAGGAACTGAATAAACTGCTCGTGGCTTTCGAGCTGATGATGGACGAGGTAGTCGTGTCGCTGGACAGGGTAGCGACCGTCGCTCTTGCGGAGGGTTCGTTCCGCGCAGCACCAATAGTTAGCACGAGGTTGGCTGAGGTGCCTTTGGACATGAACAGATATCCGCGGCATGACACTAGGGGTCTCTGCGACTCTTACGGCATTCCGCCTGCCAACCTCGAAGAGTGGTATTCGATGGGGGTGTTTGGAGAGAAAAACCCCGTCGGAGAAGTCACGAGCGATAGTAGTGTACCGCCCCAACCAGCCCAACCTGATAGATCGATGGAAGTGAAAAATATCAGTCACGAAGAACCGCCAGCCGCACTGCCTACCACCACGAAGCGGGCTCCGGAGATGAGGTTGAGCGTTAAAATCACATATGGCGATTTATTCCGGCAGACAGGAGACTACGTGCATTGCATATCGGCGGACGTAGTCGCCAGCGAATGCATAGCCCCAAATATCTTCAGGTACATTGAAAATGCCAGAGCCGGTGCTTGCCAAGACCCGGTAGATGAGAGAGCTGTCCTTTTAAGTGGAGGCCCAGACGGAGCAGCACCCAAGGTGGGCGATGTGCTGGTTAGTTATTTACCAGATAAGAGAAGAGTATATCACCTTGTTACGAAGGCACTCTATAATGGCAAGCCAAGCTTGTCCTCATTGAGGGGTTGTCTGCAGCGGCTGTATGATATGACGGAAGGCAGAAGACTCTACGCATGCGCCCTAGGTGCGGGCAGGGACAAGATCCCGCTCGCCGCTTCCTTAAATCTAATATATGAGGAGATGGAGGGCAGGGACTTAACAGTTGTCCTATTAGAGGGACACGCTGTGGATTTGAAAAAAGCTTTCTCAGGTATACAAAACGAGGTCAATACGTGTTATATCTCCGCTGCTTTGCAACTACTGCATCTTAACAAGCACGCAGTGCGTGGCATACGTAGAGTACAAAATAAGTCTAAGACGGCAAAGATGCTAGTAGAGATTTTTTTGAAAATGCGGTCAGGAGCCACTGCCCTCAATGTCTCTGAGCTGCGTAGCAGAGTGATTGCAGCCTGCAAGGGGAACTTCGGAGTCGGAGAAATGGAGCAGGAGGACGCTAGCGCCTTTTACAACACTGTCTTACAAGTTGTTGCCGTTGAGTGTGGGGAACCAGATTTCCTCCTGCCGTTGCAGGCTACTGTGCACTGTCCCAGCACCACATCGGACGAGGGCGACGCAGTGCCTGCGTCGGAGACTGACTTCACGGTTGTGCCCGTCGCAGTTGGGCTGGCTAACAAAGGTCTGACCATGCAGACCACCGATCCTACCACGACGATCCGCCCGCCCAGCGGCGAGAGCTAGTGGAAGGCGAGGGCGTGGACGAAGAAATAATCGAACCTCGCCCCTACTTCCAAGAGATGTTCTACCGTGGGGTGGAGTCCCCGAGAACAACCGCATTGGGACCGAACGTCCCAATGTTTCCTCAGAGCAGGCCATCGACAGTCAGCTGGGGTTGGCGGTGCCGGGTGTGCAGCCGCCCGAGGGGACCGTTCTCATTCCTAGGATACCGTATTATATGGCACTAAATTTTAATATCCAGATGAAAGGGCAGAAACTGTACGTGAATCAACGTATTTTTATTGACAAGCAGGCATTCTTGGTGGTTGCTTGGGCGAGTTGGCTGGGGGCTCATTGGATCACTGGCTTGCAACGCGGGCAGGACTACTACGAGATAGATGACGAAATTGTCAAGGATGTGTCTTCACAGCGGGGGAATGTAGTCCTGGTGCTAATAAAGAAAATGGGGCTGCCGGACGACGGCATGTGCGAGTCAATCGTGGGGACGCTGGACGAGCATGAGATTTTTGAGGACGCGCCGGTAATGGGCAGTGCATCGCGTGCGCGTTTAGCGGTCGACTCGAGCGCCCTATTGAGGGATACGGCGGTGGTGAAAGAGACCGATAGATCTGATGTGGTGCAGTTGATGACCACCAATGTCAAGGGTGCTTTACGTTGCGTTTCGGGCATGCTGCCGGTTCCAACTAGTACAGGCTCTCACACCACCGAATTAGTGCCGGTCATCACATCAGAGGCCGTCCCTCTGCCTGATACTAAGGAAAGTATCCGCCATCTAGTGTTGGGCATATCGTACGTCAGACAATGGCAGATACACTCAGGCGGAGTGATGGTGGAGAGAGACATGCTAGACTTTAGCTGTCTGACACTGGGACTAGTTAAAAATAGACTCCCCGTATGGATAAGCCGTAAGCCCCTTTGTCTCCACGGTGCGAACGTGACCCAATAAGGTTCAAACGCAACGTCGAGGTGGTGGTGAAGAAGGCTCACCTACCCATGCTTGCAGGTGTCTCGGATTTGAGGCGGGGTGACACAGTAGTCATGGGAAAAGGTACCATATTTGCTGATAGGAAGGAAAAATCTCGCGACGCGCCGGTAGTACCGGAGAGAGTTCGTCCGGTCAGCAAGCTCAAAGATTCAGGGTCCAGGCAACCACCGTTCGCGGAGACTTCAGCAGAACCGCAAGTCAAAAGGACCAGGGGCGACTTGGACAGTCACACTCTAACCGGCGGTGGCACGGGCGCTGACTACCAATTGCCACCGTTGAAAGCACAATCATATAACCCAGATTATATGAACAACATAGTGGTGGTGAAAGATGTGCGTAAGTTCCCGCATGACGTACGCTTGGTTATAATTAACCATGGGATGGACCCTGACGGGCGTAGCGGCGTACTGTCCAGCCTGGCAGATTTCTCGTATCAGGAGCACTTAAAGGAGCCTACGCTGTATATAAGACTCAAACATGATGACAGCGCGCGGACCGTGTTGCGTAGCGCCCTTCGCCGCATAGACGGCCTTTTAGCTTATTGTGATCTAGGACACAATTTCCACAAGATACCAAGAGGAGAAACACTAGCGCAGGACTTTCTCGACGCGTTGGACTGGGCTCTTGGCGGAGTGACCGCCAGAGTGGGTGTTAGCTTGGGGCATTATTCACTAGAGGTCCCCAAGTCAGCTACAATCAAGGAGGTCGACACGAGTAGAGACGAGCGAAATGCATCCAAGGCTGTTCGGGCTATGTCTTCGTACGCCTACATCAAAGCACAAGACGTTAGTCTGACTTACTGCTCCCAGAGACCAGCATATGATGGGTCTCCGCTAGCCTATGCGACGGGGGCGGTTTATGAGATCAACGAATACTGGAGGTCGCAGGTGCCCATCTTGGAAGCCATACACTCCCAATTGTATGAAACTTATGCCAGGCTTTCGTTATCAAGGGAGCTGAAGCAAAGGATGTTGCGGAACAGCCGAAGGTTGGCTGTCGTGTCTCTCAAGACGGAAAGAGTCAGCTATGGTCACGATGTCTCTTTCAGTGACTATGAGACCTGCTATACTCGAGACGGTATCCTTGATAGACAGGACGCGCGTTCACGCTGGGAGCGCGGCGAGCTAGACGAATTCGTTTTGGTGTCAGATGATTTGCTGATACAGAACTGCGTACGGCTCCACGAGGTGGCTGCCACAATCAATGTAGATGCACCAGTGAGCATCAGCATAATCCGCGGAGTCCCGGGCTGCGGAAAAACCCATTTGATTACCAGGATGGCAAGAAAGAACACTCAGGCTAAGAGACATGATGCCATTCTGGCGCCTACGAGAGAGTCGGCTGAGAACATCCGAGAGAGAATAGCTGCCAAGTTTGGATACTCAGACGACCTTCTCATGCTAAGGGAGGATGTGAGAACCCTGGATAGCTTTCTCATCAACAATAGGCAAACGTACGACAGAGTCATCGTCGACGAAGGCTATATGTGCCACGTCGGGCAGATATATTGTTGTGCTATATCCTGTGGGGCTAGAGAAGTGGTCTTAGTTGGTGATTCTTCGCAGATCGGTTTCATCAATAGGACCCCACAACTCCCGGTCTCGTACATGTCGCCAGAGCCGGCCGGTAATGTGGTAGATACCTTAACTCAGTCACATCGGGTGACGTTGTCTGCGGCGTCGATGTGGAGCCACAAATACGGTGAGTTCTTGACCTCCAACGCCG